TGTTCCTGAACTATTTGCTATGCCTGATGACTGATTGAGTACATGTGTGTGTGTTATATATAAAAGAGATGAAGAGGAGGAATGAGATAATGTCCTAAGTGCAATCATTACTTAAGTCCCTATATTCTTTGAGAAGCTTGCACCTACACTCTTGAACATGTCTTATTTATCCCTGAGCACATTTCTTTTTAAAATAAATTTTAGTTCTGCGTCATATGGGATTACCCCGAAATCTTTTCCTCTATACTCCGAAGGATCCCATTTTTGCCTGAGTAAAGTTTCCTAAAAGATGAAGGAATTCCTTAGTTGCCTGGGACTCTTTGTTTAGGGTTGAAGTCTTGTGTACTTTCCTTGTCCACTTTGGCAAATCTATTGTTGTCTTTGTTCAGCTCAGGTTTAGGCAGTCACATTAGTGAGACTTTACGGGTGTAGCATCTGACATTCCTAGGAGATAAACTCTCTGAGCCTCTGGCTCTTACAGTCTTTCGGATCCTTTTTCTGCAATGTTCCCTGAGCCTTAGGTGTAGGAGTTGTTTGTAGATTTATCCATTTGGACTCTCCACTGAAGAGTGCACCAATTGGTTATCCAATACCAAATGGTCAGCATTGAGAGCATGTAGACAAATAACATTATACAGACTGAACAGGCTATGTTCAGGAATATATGTTAAATAAACATGTATGCCAGCTGGGCCTGAAACTCCCTTCCTAGGCCTAACTTTAGAAATATTTCTTCAGGCCTTTAGGCCTTAGATTTCTCATTTTCCCTGAGCATTTAACTTCAGAACTTTTCATTGTTAATCCTAACTAGGGTACTTTGAGATGTAAATTTCTCAGTCTCTTGCCAGTTTTTCACCACCCCAGTGTCTTTCTAAGGACCTGGATATCAGCCCCAGAAAAGTAATCATTGAGAGAGATGGGCCCCTGTCCCTCAGTCTCCCTGGAAGAAGAGCCCAACATCTAAATTGTCATCATTAGTAATCAGGTGGCCTAATCCCACTGACCAACCCCAGAGCACAAACCCTTCCGATGCAGGAGGTAGTCTTTTTACTGAAACACTTTCGTAAGTCTTTAGTTGCCCGTTTAGCTTGTGTAATCGTGAGATGAGACTATTCTTTCACAACTATAATATTCAGAACAACAAATCGGCCTCCCCTTCACCACTTTCTTTTTTTTAAAAAATGAATTGTTTCTAGATAAAATATAATTAGCCACTTGTATGAATTCTTAGTCCTGTTTTTGCTTTCTGAACATCACAGATTCCTGGAAGATGTTTTATTTTTGGCTATTTTAACATAATGCCAAGAAGATCGTCTTAGTCTGTGTGACAGTTCACCCAACAACAGCGTTTCTTCCCTTTGGGCTCTGGCAATTGTTTCCCTGCTGAGGAGGCGTCTCAGTGGTGAGCTAAAATGCTAGTGAAACCAAAGGACCAGTAAAGCCAGCCATTCACAGGCCTTGGCCAGTATCTGAGTCTCCGGCCCATGTGGGAAGAGAGACACCTAGTCTGAATAAATAAATAAGTCTGACTGGCTTATTTATTCTAATCATTCCTCAGTAGAGTTCACAAAGCTGTGTAAGAAAGCCTCGTGGCATCCTGCGGCATTCTTAGGAAACGGGAAACATAATAGATTCACAGTTCTCCCAAGTCTCCCTGTCTTCCACTCTCTCGACAGAATCTCAGGTAGCCCATGCTGGCCTCCCACCCATTATATAGCCAAGGATAACTTTGTGTTCCGCATCCTCCTGCCTCTACCTGCCTGGTGCTAAGATTACAGGTGAGCATCAACAAGTCTGGCTGCTGCTTCTTCAACATGAGATTTATGTCAAGTTTTCCTTGAGTCGAGTTTTAATTTTGTAGACATGTATAACATTGCTTTTTACTTGTGCCAGGAATTGCACCAGATAGGGAAGAAACTTAGTTAAGTATTGCTCAAACCATTAAGTAAGCATACTTTTGTAATCATTAGAGTGTGCCAACTGCTGAATATTTAGTATTCCAAAGGCAAGTTGATGTGGGCTTCCCCTAGCTATGCTGTGAATATGTTTTATTACCATTGGTTAATAAAGAATCTGCTTTGGGCCTATGGTAGAACAGAATATAGCCAGGTGGGAAATCTGAACAGAGATATATATAGAGAGTAAGCAGAGTCAAGGAGACATCACGTAGCTGCTGGCATCTGTCAGCCACAGCCTAGTAGCAATACACAGATTAATAGAAATGGGTTAATTTAAGAAGTAAGAGTGAGCTAGAAATATGCATAAGCTAATAGGCCAAACAGTGTTGTAATTAATATAGTTTTTGTGTGATTATTCGGGTCTTGGGTGGCCAGGAACAAATAAGCAGTCTCCACCTACAGCAAGTTAAAAGATTTGACGTATTTTCTTTTTTATAGAAAATATTAATAATTTTTCTGTGTCTGGTAGAATATTTCCTGATGATGGAGATTCCTCAGAAGTTAAGGCAAGCTTTCTCCACCAAAGACATTGCTCTTTAATTCCCTCCCCCCGGTATTTTAGTTATGCAACTAGGTATTTTTTCTTTAAAAATTTTGTTTTTAATTAAAAATAATTCTGTTTATATGTGGTACACACTATGCTGTTCTGATCCATGTAGAAAGATTTAGTCTAGCTAACTACTATCCCATTACTTATTTAATTCTTTATCTTTTGACGGGGATAATATAAAATATCTGTTCCTTATAGAAAAGTTGAAAGATGTGACACATCATTGACAGCAGTATAGTAGTTTTTTAAAATTTACTCCTCTGGTCTAACCAAGACCTTGGCAGATCATAACCAGATGACAGCAGGAGATACTGGAGAGTCTCAGCTGATACTCTCGCAGACACTTCAGACTCTGTGGTCGTGCACGTCTTTAATCCTAGCTCTTTGGAGGCAGAGGCAGACGTAGGTGGATCCCTGTGAGTTTGAGACCAGCCTGGTCTTCAGATTGAGTCCCAGGATGGCCAAGGCTACACAGAGAAACCCTGTCTCAAAACAATAATAAGACAAGAAAAAAACAGCAACAAAACAAACCAACCAACAAACAAACAAAACAAAACAAAACAAAACAAAAAAGCCCTCTGTACATACAGAAGTCCAGCGGATGTCTAGAAGTCCCCATGTCAATTCTACTTCTCTTCAGCTACTTACAACACTGCAGGAGTGCTGGCATATGATTGGGAAATGATTTACCTTCACCCCTATTACCGGGAACTTTTTTCCCAACTACCATTTCTGCCAATCATATCCCATTTTCTGTGTACCTTTTTTTCTGTCCCTTTTCCTTCCTAAGGGAAGGAGTTTACAAGCCATTTCTAAGCACTCTTAAAAAACAAAACTCACAGAAGAAGAGAACTGAAATGTTTCTCTTTATAACATTTAATTTGAGAAGGATGTTTCTCCTCTTTTTATGAACAACCAAGTGGTCTGTAAGGGAGATGCCACCAGCAGCAGCCGTGCAACCTTCATGAGCATCCGCAGGCCAGCCATAGAACACCACCAGCGTTTGTGGCTCCGAACCTCAGTCACCCCGACTGCTCGTATCTTTCTCAGCCTTTGTTTTTATTTTAATGGTTTTGAGATAGCCTGCCTTCCAAAGGAGGACGAAATGACAGCTTACAGTGTTATCTTTCTTTGGTCCAGTTTGGTCAGCATGCCCACTTAGTAAATGTATTATATCATTTTCCAGGGAAGACATCAAGGATGTGTTCCACTGCTTTTATGCTATGGCAGCCACTTGGCCAGGGCGTGCGGACTTCAGATCCCAGTGGACTGTATTAAAGTCAACACTGAGTAACGTCATCAGGTGTTTCTGCTTGGGTGTAAATATACAGATCCAGAAACAAATTTTTAATGTATGAAATACAGAGTGAGAATCAGATTATAAGTCCCCGACTAATTTAATTCTCACCTAACAAGAGGCTGAAACGGCCAAGCGCATATTTATGCAAGGAACTGGGGATTTTCCGGAGAAACCCAGATGCTCTCAGGACTACATGGTTATTTCTGGCTTTCCCATGAATATTCAATGAACAGTGAAGGGGGTTTCCTTAAAAGTTCCATACTCACTCATCTCTGCAAACAGCTGTCTTCTCTCTGCCATGGTAGTTCCTCTTTTCCCGCTATCTTCAATCATTCTGTGGGACAAAATTGTGACAATATGCGTCAGTCTCATGGTAAGCAGGCAGACAGACATTTCTAGGTAAGCACATTAAACGCACTTGGGCCACAGACAAAAAATCATCCACTGAACTTGTTTATTTCAGAGTACTGGGGGCTGGGGAGGTGGCCCAGTAGGTAAGGCACATGGCCTGTATGTATGAAGACCGTGAAGAGTTTGGATCCTTAGAACCCAACGAAAAGCAGGACAGGCCTGGCTGCTGCCTCTATTCCCATTACTTGGGAAATAGACACAGGGGATTCCTGAAGCAAGACACTTGATTTCAACTTAGGGCCTCCATACGGATCCCCTAAAACATATAAACTACACACAAAAGTATTTTCTTTATACTTTTATACATTTATAAGTAAAATATATCATTCATTTTGATTACTGTGCATATTCCCCATACGCCATATAGTTGTTGAAAGGGAAAGAAATGCTTTCTTTCCTAACATGAGGGAAACCATGGAGTTGACCTGGTCTAGCTGCCTGGAGAGGCATGGATCACAGGTCTTTCAGGTTAGAGTCTGTGCCTCCTGGGGCACTGTGTGCCTTCCAGTTTCTGAGAAACTGAGGCATTCCCTCAGACAGTGAAACATTCAGGGTTCCTGTGCATCTTTGCATTCCCTAGAAGTCAGCAGAGCATTCAGAAGCTTGGCTGGACAATTAGTCTTAGACATTAACCTTGTGTACCTTGTACAGCTTGCAAATGTCATTGTATCCTGGCAACTACAATTGTATTTATTCTTCCTAGCAACCACAGTTATATTCTGTTTCTGATAAGGGTATAAGAAGTCTGATTGCTTGCAATAAGCTTGTCTCTGCCACAGACATATAGCAACCCCTCAGACCTGTCTGGTTGACATTACCACTGACCATAACCAGCTAATCCTAGTTTGGTAAGTGCCGGTGCTTATACTAATTTAAAAATTACTAAACAGTATATGACCCAAATGCTATAACTAAATACAGCCATTGTGCTGATTTGAATGAGAATGGTCCCCCTATAAAGCATATGCTCAAACACTTGAATACTTGGTCTCTACTTGGTGGAATTTGGGGGGGGGGGGAAGGAATTGGAAGTGTGGCCTTGTTGGAGGAGGTGTATCATGTCACTAGGGAGTGAGTTTTAAGGTTTCGAAAGCCCACAGCATTTAAGGTTAGCTCTCTCTCTCTCTTGCTCTCTTTCCCTCCCTCCCTCCCTCCCTCCCTCCCTCCCTCCTCCCTCCCTCCCTCCATCTCTTTCCCCCCATCTCTCCCTCCCTCCTATTTGTGGATCAGATATAAGCTCTCAGCTACTGCTTTGGTGTCAGGCCAACCTGCCTGCTGTCATGGTTCCTGCCTCAAGAGCTTGGATTCTCTCTCCCTAGATCTTTGCGCCCAAATGAATGTTTCCTTTTTTAAGTTTCCTTGGTCATGGTATCTTACCACAGCAATAGAAAAGTAACTATAACAACACCTATTTAATCGCCTATTTAATGGTGGGTGGTTTACTTCATGTCGAGTACCTCTTACAATTCTGAGGCTACCTATTTAGATTAGAGACCACATTTCTCGGCTCCCATGCAGCAGATGAGGACCCAGGGACTTCATGGATGAAGGATGCAGAACCCCAGAACTCCAGGGTTGCGCCTGCTGCTTGTTCCTTGTATAGCCACAGCCTCAGTGTAGAAGCAGGTGAATTTCTATTGTTAATCTTTAAGTGTAACTTACAATAGTTTTCCTGTACATAATTATTTGATGCAAGTGGTTGGGTTCATGTTTTTTTCTTCAACCATGCCATCATCTCCTGTAGGTCATTTTTAAAAAATGCTATTAAAATAAAAACAACTAAGACAGAGGGTAGAAAATTGGACTCGAGGAAGAAGATAATGAGAAAGTTAATAGTAGTGTTATTTAGTAACAAGGATGGCTTTATTATAAGTATTGAGAATTTATGATTTGATGAGCTTGATTTTTATTATATCTGGTTAAACTTTAAAGACATGAATCCAGGGTCTTACACATGCTAGGCTAGTGCTCTTCCATTGAACTACCCTCAGATATTTCATCCTGATTTGAAATAGAATTTTGCTAGATTGCCCAAGCTGATCTTCATTTCCCAATGTCTCAGTAGCCTGGATCTCAGGTGTATACCACCATGTCTGGCTTTAATTCAACCATCAGTGTTGTACACAGGCATATGCATGTATACCATCCCACCTCCCATGTTGATTCTCAGGCATGGTGAACATATGACATGCCTGCAAGGATGTTTGGCTTTTCTTTGGATAGGTCCTTCCCTTCCTAAAAAGAGTTTTGTTCGTGTCTCCCTAATTTGTAGTGAGTCTCAGGTCTACGTCTAGCTGTGTCTTACTCTGAAATCAACCCCAGCTCTATGACGGCCTTGATTCTGAACCTCTGTAGTTCACAGAGCTTTCCTCTTGATGATGTGTCTGTTCCCCAGAACTTTGCCTTGGACCACCTACCCTCCAGAAAGTGTGCTGCAATGGGCCCTGGATGAAACAGCTGCTGAATCACAGATCCTCCTTGCAGATTGCTTACTCTAGAGTAAGGTATTATTGACCCGTAGCGATCTGAAGAACTTTTGCTTCCTGATTCGCATCCCATCTCCTTCACTGCAGAGGAAGTGGGTAGGTAACACCTGACATGTACCAAGTCATCCGGATATAGCTCCCAGTTTTTATTTCAAGGGCTCAGAAATAGAAGGGAGGCAGCGGGAGGGCAGGGAACAGAGCCAGCGGTACATTCCTGTATCTGTCTATGTGCTGGGACAGGATGGGAAGAACGTTAGAATAAACATGAAGGAATGCAGGCTGGGACTGACTGAGCATATCTGTGAGGTTAAGAGTGGCATTTGAGGTCATCGCTCTGACTGCCTGGACCACTCACTTGCACAGAAATGTTCGTTTCTAAGCTAACTGTGCTTTTCTGAAGTGAGTAACCTCATTCTTTTTAAGATTCTTCACAGGCAGCAGTGTTACTGAAGAAATGAATGAAAAGGGAATGCAAAAAATAGAGGTGAGAAAAAGAATAGTTGTATTTTTTTTACACAAAATAGACATTCAAATTATACTTCCAAAATCTAGCACAGAAAAATGAAATTCAAACCATAATCATTTCAGAGGGTCATTATCTAAAAAGGGGAAAAACAAATTTATTTATGTTTATCAAAACAGGGCTATAAAATTTTAAGCAAAATCATACGTCATGCAATAGTTGAAAAAGTTGCAAACTCCATAAGTGTCAGCTTCTGATTTGTTCATCACCACTTTTGTTGTTGTTATTAATTCCCTCATAAAAGAACCATAAGCTACACAATGATTGCTAATAATTGCTAAGGTAAAGCATAGACCTTATGAGGGAAAATTCATTGGTGTTACATCTTAGGAGGCATAGAAATACAGCAGCAGAGAAAAAGGCAAACGGTGTGCCTCCCATTATCTCCAAATTTCACGGGAAGCATCAAGCCAGGTTCAACTGATAATCTTCACTTTCTTCAGTCATTACAGCCAAGGAAGGAACGGGCATACTAGCTTCCATCTCAGACTGATTCAGTGGGAGATGTCTGGGACTCTTTCTCTCTACTGCTATCTTCCTTGATCACGCTCCACAATATCCTTTGAGACAGGTTCTCTTAGGGAAGCTGGAACTGGCCAGTCGGTCTAGAATGGTGGCCACTGAGTCTAGAGTGTCTCTGCCTTTCCAGTGCTGGAGACACAGGTGCCACCACATGACGAGACATTTTACATCAGTACAGGGGATTGCAGGCCTTCACATAGCTAACACTTTACTGGTTCAGCTGTCTCCCGAGCCCCTCAGCGGGGACAGCTCTTGAAGTGTGTTCAAGCATCAGGTAGGTGAGGACCACCATTGTGGACTCCGCGGCTTCCAGTCTAACTTACCAAAGGAAGTGACACTGTAATACTCCACCACATTTTTGTCACCTTACAAACAGAACAGCAAGGCCCTCGGAAGAGGTTATCCTGAGTGCGTCTACAGGGTGCATTTTTGCTTGGAAAGCAACGGAGCTTGGCTAGGATCTCTAGTTTTCATGAATTTTAGTGAAACAACAGCTATCCGAAGTTATATGGTAGAGGTGAAGGGACAGTATTATTGTTTGCCACAAGGTGTGGCTCACTTGTTCAATTGATGTCTTTCCTTGTAGATGGGATATTCACAAACTTATGCTAGCATGGTAAGAGAATGATGAGTCCCTTCTGCTAGCTCCTGATTAACTCTCAGTTCCCAGGACTACACAGGTACCTGCTGCCTTCACCACTAACCTGCACCCCCTTACGAGGAAACACTCCTAGAGTAGGAGCTCCAACACGGATCTCCCTCTGCTTCCTGCCTGCGGACCGTGAGCACTTGTCTCCTGCTCCTACAATCATGTCTTCCGACCACGACAGATGACTGCAAGCCATGAGCCCCAGTAAAACCACCCAAAGGAAATGTTTGAAAAGAGCTGTAAGTTTTTAGACACTTTCATAGTCTCCTAAGATCAAAAGATTAAAAAGACATGACCTTATGGAGCTCTGTGCTTTTTAAGATCCCCTTTTAGAAACGGAATATTTTTTTCCTAGTAAGTATTTATAGCTTGGTGTAATATATGCCACATGCAAGCATGTACTGCTCGAAGTGGTAGCTTATTTATGAGGTTTGAGAATGACATCAAAGAATCAGTGATTCTAGCATAGGAGGATAAAAAACAAACAGTACTTTTTTTTTTAAAGATGGAAGAGTTCAGGAAAAATGATTACAGTTAGAAGGAATCGTGGGAGAGCACATAGATCTCTAGAGGGTATGGCACTCAGGGGAACTGGGAATTAGGCAGCATCTCTGTGTGCAAGTGTTAGTGGAGATGCGGAGAAATGAAGCGGCCTCAGATTTGGACAGTCTGACGTCTAGACCAGAATGGGACCTCCGTCCTACAGGAGAGAGCCAGGGTACCACTCAAGGCTTAAGAAGACTTTGTACACAAAGGTTTAGATTTTGGCAAGGTGACTCTATCAGGTTAAGTGGGAGAAAGACTGAGTAGTCAGGAGAGTAGGTGTGGTTATAGGAAGTGTTCAGTTAGCTGAATGTTTCAGGATCTTAGAACAAGACTCGTGTGTATAAAGTCATCCTTTGCCTTGGTGCCTCTGCTGGATAGTCTTGGTCTTATGTCAAGCTGACAGAGCTAGAGTTAACTGAAGGGAAGGAACCTCAATTAAAAAAAAATTCCTCCTCCATAAGATACTACTGTAAGGTTTTTTCTTGATTAGTGATTGATTGGAGAGGGTCCAACCCATTGTGGGTGGCACCATCCCTGGCCTGGTGGTCCTCTGTTTCATAAGTAAGTGGGCTGAGCAAGCCAGTAAGAAGCACCCTTCACAGCTCTGTGTCAGCTCCTGCCTCTGGTTCTTGCTCTGCTTGAGTTCCAATCCTGACTTCCTCGAGTGATGAACTGTGATATGGAAGTATAAGCTAAATAGACTCTTTCCTCCCAGACTTGCTTTTTGATCATAGTGTTTCATTGTAGCAACAGAGACCCTAACTAAGACAGTGCCCATCAACAGATGAACAGATAAAGAAAATGTGTCATAGATAAATGATGGAGTGTTGTTAATAAAGAGGATCATGTTAGGTCATTTGCAGGAGGATGGACAAACTGGAGACTGTTAAGTTAAGCAAAAGAAGCTAGACATAGAAGGATAAATACTCTATGTTTTCTCTCAGGTGTGGAATTTAGACTTTTGTTCTTAAAGACATGAAAATGAAAGGGGAATAGTGGAAGTCGGTGGTAGGGACAAGATTGGGCACTAGAGGGTTACATATTGTCACAGTATATTATATACAGGCATGATATGCCAAAACAAAGCCTAGTTTTATTAAATTAATATGTGCTAATTATTTTTAAAGTTAAGGAAACTACAATGTGTTAAGAAGGGCCCTGACAGTCTATATCTCTGGGGAGCTTTGAAATGAAGCATCAAACAGCTTAGGACCCAGTAAGAAGTAAAGTAGAGGCTATACAAGGAGAAGGAGTGCAAAATGCTACTTTCTAGGCAAGACGCAGCCAATGTATACATGGTCTCATGGCAATTCAGGATGCCTGAATTGGCTGGGTCTGCACAAGACTCTGCCTGTCAACAGCCAATCACAAAGGGGCTCAAGGGGCCACACACTCTCCTGCTGATGTATGGACAACTGATGGATTCTTGGGGAAGGACAGCCACTGTCTTTAGTTGTAACTCAGAGAGTCACACAGAGGGTCACGGTTAAAATCAGTGGGTCGCTAAACAAAAAGACAGGAAAGTAGCAGGAGGGGGGATGACAGGAACGGGAGGACACTCAAGAGGGGTGTGGGTGAGAGCAAACAGAATGTAGTCTATGTGTGTACCAACTATCAAAGAGCAAATTTAATTGAAAATGTATAAAAATAACACTTGTAGAGGTGAAATGTTAGACGAAATACAAATTGTATTTTAGCTTGGTGGGTGTAAGGTCCCACGGCAATGCAACACCCTCAAGATATTTCTGGAGTGGCATTGCTCAAACTCAACACCATCCTTGATAAATACTTGTTAATTACACACAATAGATAAGATGTTTGAGAGGAACAACTTAAACTGATGGTGCCTTACACTATACAACTTCCTAAAAATCACAACCTTGAGAGGAAATAGGGGGGCATCTTGAGACTCAGGCAGGCAAAGTTAAATATCACGGTTTTTCTCAGGGCAAATCATCAACTTCATTTAAATTTTGTGCTTAATTTTAAAATTCCTAGGCTTGCATGGGTCCATCTGCCAGTAACAGCATCCGTGATGTTTCTGGGTGATGCAGATTAGGATTTCCTGAAATTGGTAAGCTGAAAGGAATATACTAAGACTGGCTAACTTAGCGGAAAAGAGTCCCAGACCTCTGAAACCTGCTGGGAAATGCCTTTGCACGTTATTTCTTAATGGCTGCCTCCTGTTGGAAAGTATTGTCAGACTGGAAAGAACTGTGGAGAGTAAAACAATCCTGGGCGTTCAAGTTTATGTAACCCTAGAAACATGTAAACACGCCAGATCACACACGAGTTCACATTCACAATTGAGAGCTGCGTGAGCCTGCAGTGTTTGCAGAGCTGTCTGGCTCGCCCCTGCTCTTCCTCCTCTTTAGCAAGTTCATGAAGACTGTGGGTTTCATGTCACTATATTAAACTCATCCAACAGTTTATTTCCTTTTCTTTTGCTCCATGTGGGTGAAAAAATGCTGAGGTCAGCAATCACACCGTTTTTGCCATCCGAGAGTTAATAACCACACAGCCCATCTCTAGCTCCTTTCCGCCTCTGGTTGTTTAATTGGTGCCATATAAACACCTGTTGTCACTGTGGTGATGAAAGCTTCTCATAGAACCTTTCAGATTTATGTTCGAGTCCTAATCTGTGCAAACATAAAAAAGTATTCCGAATTTTTTCTTGAGTCCAAATGGAACTGTGCTTCCTCCCTAGGCCTTTATCTATATTAGCCTGTGGCAGTAGGAAAATATTGTGGTTAATACAAATGCGTTATGGACCTATCATTTATCCACCCACCCACCTACCCACCTACCTATCTATCTCACTGGGTCACACTACAGCTTCCATGACAAGATTGATTTTTTCTTTTTTTTTCTTTTTTTCTCATAAATTTTATTTTATTTTTTTGAGGTGGGAGGTTGCAAGGGTAAACATGAAGGGACAAAATAGGAGTAGAATTGAGATTCATGGTATGAATGACACATAAAATAAACAAAAAAGGAAGTTAAAAATAAATAAAAAGCATAAAGTAATCAAAATTAAAACTACAGAATCTGGCCAAAGAATGGTCCCAGCTGTCATTGTCTCAGTCCTTGTCTGTCTCACGAAGTGGCCCATATAACTTTTAATTCGTTATTGACTGAGGGTACATCCTTGCTCTTATGAACACCTGTCCTCATATGGGGTACGGGCTCTAGAGTACAAGGCCAGGATTTTCTTGAAATTCGGAATGACTCAAATAGAGCTTCAGGATAGTGACTTTTTTTCTGTGTTTTCATCTAACTACAGACAGAATGAGAACAGAGGCTTGCAGATTTTTTTTTTCTGTTTTGAGTATCTTATGGGCCCAAGGGAGGCAGCAATGTAGTTTAGCACGTGCAGTTTCTAAACATCTTTTTTCAGACTTTAGCTGTGTTTCTAAACTGTCTGGGGTGCATCTAAAAGGTCCAAGTGCACCATGTCCACATTCCGTATTCAAAGGACTGGTACTCTGGATAAGGTCGCTGGACTTGGTTGATGGGTAGCAGAGATACTTCAGATAGAACAAATTGCTGGGAATCTGCCTGACTGGCCATTACACTAAAGGAGTATATTGTGTCTCCTAAGTAGATAGGTGTATAGGAAGGTAGGTGGGAAGGTAGACAGATGGATAAATTATAGATGAATAGATAATAGATATAAGATAGATGATAGAAAATAGATAACAGATTGCAGACAAATAGATAATTGATGGATGAATAATAGAAGATTGACAGATAGATGCTAGATAGATAGATAGATAGATAGATAGATAGATAGAAAGTCACACAGTAACCCCTTTGTCCATTCATCTTTACTTGCAAGTGTTTATTGCAAAGAGTCATTGATTTGGCTCGAGGCCTCTGGTTTCTGCTACAATATCAATGCTGGGCCATCACTGGGACCCCCTCATCTATCTTGTTGTTGCCCTGTGTCATGGAGATCCTGCAGTTGTGTCTGCAGGACTGATCCCCTTCATGTGCTCTTGCAGATCACAAATGATGGGTGGATATTGGGTTGGGCCAACTCATCACCCTAGTTCTGGGGTTAGGTAGTTGCAGGGTTGGTTAGCACACCAGCTCTCCTTGGTCCTCACCACCAGGGTGAGCTTTCCTGAATTGCTCTGGCTACTTCACCCCTTACAAGGGGTGGGGCCAGTTCTCCTGCTTTCGTGCCCACAGGGTCAGCTCATACTTTTTCTTTTGATTTGAACTTTAAACCTCACTTGGGCACTCTGAACAGATAGGCTTTGAGTCACTTAGGCTATTCTGTGTCCCTCTTCCCATATTACATAAATCTCCAGCTGATTTCCACTATTACTCGTCTATTTAATTGGCCAGTTGGGGACAGTGATTGAGCATATACTGCTGGGACTACCTGAGCAAGAGCTTTCACCTTAAAAACCCTGGTAACAGGCTAAACTAGAAATATGATGCTCGTTGAATTTGAGTATAAACTTATTTGTATACTAGAGTGGCATTCTTAGGTTACTTTGTAATTCACTTTTATACTTTATAAGAGTTTGTGAAATGTACCTTGAGTCAATGGAGAAGATAATTAATTCCTTTGGGGAATGTAACTATGCATAAACATACACACATACAGACACAGACTCCTAAAGAGGTAGGCTTTACAAACTAGAAAATGCCATGTAAAAGCAAGAAAACCATTTTCATTCTAGAAAAAATTACTCTCTATCTTTC